ACACTGTGATAAGTTAAGAATGCATATTGTAACACCTCTGAGAGCTACCAGAAATCGAAAGAGATGTAGCTAAAAAGCAAAAACAGAACAGAATGTTTTTAAGTACTTGATTAATCCAACAGGAGGCAATTAAGGAGGAACAAAGGATCAAAGAAGAGAGGGGACAAATAGATAAGAAACAGCAAGACCACAGATGTAAACTCATCCGCAACAACAAATACATTAAATGTAAAGGGACTAGACACTCCCACTGAAAGGCGGAAATTGTCAGATTTGATTTGAAAAACAATCATGTCTGAGTTCTTGGTCTATAAGCGGCAGAATTAAGTGAGTTTCTGTGTCAAAGCTCTGAGCACAGTGCCTGGTCCACAGTGGGTGCTTCTTAAGTGAAGATACAAACTTATTTTACGAGCCCCAATTTCCTAGAAGCTGTCAGTGAACTTCCTGTCGGGAGGCCCCTGTTGGCCACCCACACAACATCCTGCTTGGCTGAGCATTCCTCCAACTGGCCTTTGTTGAGCACTGTGGGTTATTTGTTCACTTTTTGGGAGCAGGGAGCAATCCCCCTCCTTTACCAGCTCCAAAGCAGAAAGGGAAGGAAGATTAAAGCATAAATAAATAAACCCTCAACTCTGGGACAGAAGCTGAGCTTTCCCGAGGCTGGCTGGGGTCAGCAGCTTGTGGCCAGCATGGCTGCCTCATGGTGCCTAGCACCCTCTCCTTCCCAGCGGTCTGCCCACCAACCTCCAGTGCCCTAGTGCTGCCGGTGAGGTCTCTTCCCCGAGAGGAGCTCTCGCTCTGTGGTCTGGTAGGTCAGCTCCTTTCTTACCCTTGGCACCCAGTCCTGCCCGGTCAAGCCAGGGCACCCAGCCTTTGGTTAGCAGGTTGTGGGTGCAGGACAGTAAGGCAGTGTTGTGGGGCTGGAAGAGGAGTGGCTGCATTGGGCTCCATCAGCCCAGAGAGGGCTGTCGGCACTGGTACCCCGTGTTCATTGGTGGTCTGTGTGCATAAGGAAAGGGGGACCAGTGGACCCTGACCTACACTCTTATGGGTCCTTCCCCTTGCCCCACATCTGGCCTCTTAGCTGAATTCAGAGCCTTGAGGACCAAAGTGCTGTTTCTAACGACTTCCCGACTGTCCAGTCCATTGGGCTCCCCCTCCTCCGATCCCCATCCCTAACCCCCCCACAGGAGAGTAACCTCTATCTCCGTTTCTAATACCATAGACGATTTTTGCCTGCTTTTGTCCTTTGCATAAACGATATCTTTGGCACGCGACGTTTGTGCGTTTCGTGGTATTGTGTATAGCTGTAGACGGTCCATCCTCAGAGCTGTCCGAACGTCCACAGTGTAGAGTCCCCAGCTCGTTTGCCCGCTGCGCAGCTGCAGGGCTCCTGCGATCAGCTCATTTCAGGCTCTATGAGCAGCGCCGCTGCGGCTCTTCAGCTCCCGCCCTTGGATGAACACACCGATTCACTGTGTCACGCACGTGCCTGGGAGGAAGTGCCGGGTCACCTGACGCTCGCCTCCCGCAGGGGTTGTACCGGTTTCCATGCCAGCCACTGCCCGAGCGTTCAGGGGGCTCCGCGTGCTCTCCAGCACACAACACTGTCGGCCTTCACTTGGGCTTCCCCAGTGGCTGAAGTGGGAGCTCACTGCGGCCCTGGTGTGTTTCTCCTGACGAGTCACAAAACTGAGCACTTTCCATGCATTTGTCGGTCCTTTGGGTGCTCTCTTGTGAAATTTTCTCTCATTTTTCTTCTGAGTTGTCTGCCTTTTTCTCATTCTTTAAAAGGCCAATCTGCCCTGGCTGGCGTGGCTCAGTGGTTGAGCGTCGACTAGGATCCAGGAGATTGTGGTTCGATTCCCAGTCAGGGCACATGCCCGGGTCGCAGGCTCGATCCCCAGTAGGGGGCAAGCAGGAGGCAGCTGATCAATGACTTTCATCATTGATGTTTGTATCTCTCTCCCTCTCCCTTCCTCTCTCTGAAATCAATAAAGACGTATTTAAAAAAAATTTTTTTTTAAGTAAAAGGCCAATCTATTCTGCCCCACACTCAAAGCCACAGTGACTGGGCCATATTTGCACTGTAGCTGGTGACAGTGTTCCTAAAAATAGACATAATATGTCACATGCAAGTAATCTGATTTGAACTGATTTTGTATTTGATTGATCAGTTTGTCCTGGTTTTGTGGTACATGAGCCCCTTGTCTAAGAGCTACAAGGAGTTTATGGCTCATTTTGTGTTTGGACATGGTCAGGTAACACCACAGTAAAAATCATCTTAGGCAACAGTGAGGGCCCAGGAGGTCCCCCTGCCCCTCTTGGTGAGCACAAGATTTTCAAAACACAAAGCCAATCTGGTCACCTCCCAGCATAATGCACCTCCAGGGATCCCTTCTGCTGGGATGGAGAAGCCCCTTACCCAGGCCCTCTGGCCCCCCAGGCTCACCTGGCGCCTGCACCCGCTTCCCCACTGAAGCCCTTGCCTCTTTCTGGGCCAAGGCCTCACACCCATGATCTCTGGGCACAGGCTTCTAGTTCCTGCTGCTCCCTGCTTTGGACCAGCCTCTGCCCGTGGCCACCCCCTTTGTTTAGAGTTAACTCCTTACCCAGGCTGCATTCATTTGTCACTCGGAAGCCCCCACTGTGGCCCTGAAACTCACTGTCCCAGCTGATCACTTCCTTTCCTCGCATCATCTCAGCTACAATATTAATGTATTATTTTTAATTTTAATCTTCATTTGAGGACATGTTTTTTCATTGATTGGAGAGAGAGGTAAGAGAAGGGGAGAGAGAGAGAGAGAGACATCGATTGGAGAGAGATACATTGGTTGGTTGCCTCCAGTACGTGCCCCAACCGGGGATTGAACCTGCAACCTGGGCACGTGCTCTGACTGGGAATCGAACTGTGACCTCCTGGTTCATGGGTCGATGCTCAACCACTGAGCCACGCCGGCCGGGCTGCTTACACCCCCGTGTGTGTGTGTAGTTCTATAGTTTTATCACAGGTTTGCGTTTCCTCCACTGCAGTCAGAACCCAGACACGCCCACCACCACGAGGCTCCGCCTCTTCTTCTTTTATGGCCACCCCCCCATTTCTCCACCAGCTGTCCCTAATGTCCCTAATCGGTCCTCCGCCGCTAAAATGTTATTTCAAAAATGTTATCTGTTGTTCCCATTGTACAGCTGAGCAAAGTGAGCCCCTGACACTCCAGAGCCAGCACTCTGGATGCCACAGCTCCCTCCCACAGTGGGGAGCATTTTCTTCAGAGAGGAGGGCTCTGGGGGTAAGTGGGCTGGGGGGCAGGATGCCGTGGCCCCTTGAGCCTTCCTCAGCCCTGCTGTGACCCAGCCTGCCCTCTGTGTGTGTGTGTGGGGGGGGTCCTTCCATCGCTCCCAGCCCCTCCCCGGGGCTATCTCTTCCCTGCACAGTGAGAAGGTGACTGGGGGCTGCTGGATTCAAACCCGCTGGCTTGAGGCCCTGCTTGGCCACCGAGGAGCAAGGAGGCCCCATCCTGTGAACCTCAGGTCCCCCTGGGGAAAAGGGGAAGGGAAGGATCGCACCCTGCAAATCCGTGAAGATGCGATGAGGGGACGTGTGAGGAGCAGTCAGCAAAGTGCCAGGCGCAGGGCGCGGAGCGGAGCGGAGCTGAGCGGCCGGCGCAGCCGCCCGAGGCCCGCCGGGCGATGAATTATGTATGGCCTTCTGGCGGCCGCTCCTGCTCCCAGCGCCTCCCGGGCCTCCCGGGCCTCCGCAGCGAGGGGCGCAGGTCCCCGGCGGGCGGGCAGCTCTCTGTCTCTCCTGCAGGGACCTGACCAACTTCTGGTGGCTGATATTTCTCAGTCCCCAGAATGCCCATTGCACAGGCTGAAGAGCCAAGGTCTGGGGTCAGCTCAGGAATGTGATGGTGGTGATGACAGAGCAGCAACGCCAATAACAGCAATGGGGATGGACTTTTTTAACAACCAGCTGGGCTTCATGGTGCCTTTATGATGGCCCAGGCACATTTAATAGCCAGTTCGTGCAACAAAGCTCCCAGTGGCCGCCTTGCGGGCACTGTCCCAGGTGCTGAAGGCAGGGGGGCAGCAGAGCACCGTCCTGCCCTCATGGAGCGTGGGTTCCACGGAGGGAGAGCAGGCAGCGAATCAAGGAGTGATTGATGAGATTACGTGCCAGATGGTAGGGGCTGCAAAGAAAGAGAAAGGGGAGTGGGGTGGGAAGAGACGGGGCAATCAGGACAAGCCTCCCGGAGGAGGTGGCCTTTGAGCAGAGCCACGGTGCCCGGAGGGAAACGGGGAAAGTGATCTCATGAGATGTCTGGGGAAGGAATATTCTAGAAAGGAGCAGCAAGTGCAAAGGGCTTGGGGCAGGACATGAGCCTGTGTCGGAGGCATTGCAGGCCGGCTGCTATCATGGGAGGCACCAACTCCAGGGCAACCCTGTGCGCAGCCCCACTTTCGCGATGAGAAAACTGAGTCAGAGGTTATTTGTGATCTTTGTTTATATGCTTTGCTGCAGACGGATTTGTGTCTGGTTACAGGGCTGCCCCACACCTCGCTGGGGGTGCTGGGAAAGATGCAGGATGTGTCTTTCTACAACTGGAAAGGTTCTGAGTTCTGGTACCATCTGCCCGGGGGTTTGGGGTCAGGGATGATCCAGGTCTTCCCCACTCGTGCTGCGGGCCATCTCCACTGCCTCGGATCACGGGCTGCTCCTGTTTCCCTCCCTTAGCAGCCTGTCACCTCCCAGGAGCAGATCAGGGGTACATTTCAGTCTACAGGCGGGAGGTGCTGTCTCTGCTCGCCCAGCTCCCAAAGGGGCCACGGCCAAGGTGGCAGGCACAGGGCTCATCCACGTAAGGGGTGTTGGGGCCCAGTGGGCTTGGCTGTGGGACGCCTGCACGGATGGCCTGGGTGAGGAACGAACGGTGAGCATTCAGATTTAGGGCCCCTCCCCTTGGCTCCCATAGGCCCTGGGTCCCTGGCATCTTCCTGATCCCCCCTGCTGACTTGCCACCACTCCAGGCCGTGGTCTCATGGGGCGAGAACCCCACGTTGGCCTCTGTCTCTCCCAGCCTGGCCGGGCTGTGTGCCCGGGAGGTGCTCAGGGAAACCTGGAGGGGAAAGTGAGAGATGGCATGGCAGTTATGAGCATCTACTCCGTGCCAAGCCCATGACACCGGGCTAGCTCACCATTTGGCCGCACCCAGCACCCTGGCTGTTCTCTTTCAATCTGTACAATGGGCACAGCCCTCAGTCCTATCCAGCAGTCCTGTGGGGATAAAGGAAGAGTTCATGTCTGGTGCTCATCTCAGCTCCAGGTATTCAGTAAGCACTCAATTGTTCCTGTCCCTGCTCATTATTGGGGTTCTGGAGCCAGCCTCTGAGGCTTCAAATCTCGGCTCCTCCACTTGCTGGCTCTGACTTTGGACGAGTTACTCAATCTCTCTGGGCCTCAGAGTCCTCATCTGTAAAATGGGACAAATCATAGACTTTCTTTTCCCTCCCTCCCTCCCTCCCAGGGCTGTTGGAAGGATTAAATAAATGAGTATGTGGACAATTTGCACAGTGGTTGGAGCCGGAAAAGGGCTGAGCAAACACTGGATGTTATCATTACTGTCTCGGGCTCACCCAAGCACCTCAATTCTGACACCAGGGAGGAGACTCCAGCTTCTGCGGAAATGTCCAGAGTTGCTGATCTGAGTTGGGGCAGGAAGGGATCTTAGAACTTATGAAAATTGACCTTCCACCCCTGTGTCTCCGGAAACCACTCCATCCACATCTGATGGTCATTGTCACCAGGAAGTTCTTCCTCGCAGCTACCCTAAATCCTTCCGAGGCTGATTTCTCAGTTCCCATCCAGGCCTGGGTAGAAAGAATCCCACTGTTTCCCAGCTCGGCCCAGAATCCAGTGAGGTGAGCAGCCTCCAGCTCCTGGGATGGGGAGGTGCTGGTCTCAGTCTCCCCTAAAGTCTCCCAGCCAGAGAGCCAAATGCAAAAATACCTCTGTGCCTGCATTTCAGGCCTTGGGGATGGACGTGGCGAGTGTGCGCCTGCGGGTGGGAGGGGGAGAGGGAGAGAGAGACGTGAGGGTCTGAGCTGGAGGAGGCAGGACCAGGGACAGGCAGCCAAGAGGGGAAGGGTTGTGGGAAAGGGAGGGTGCGGGGCAGGGCGGCAGGGCTGGGAAAGGGAGCCGGGGAGGCCAGGAGCACCAGAGAGGGAGGCCTCATACCAGACACTGTCTAGACGCAGCAATTATTGTCAGCTCGGAACACCCAGGCTCTGCCGGCTCAGCTGAAAGGGAGCTTAACAAAGAGCTGAGAGAGGAAGAAAGCGGGAGAAAAGCGCCCGTGGAGCCGGCTCCGTGCCTGTGGGGCTCTTTCTCTGCCTGGTGACCCCCCTTTGTGCTCCACAGAGATGCCCCGTCAGACCAGGGTCGTGTGTGGGTTTGGGGGTGGGAGGGTAGGCTGTCCTGCGGGGGGATGCATTTTGCACTTGGGTTTCACGATGCGGAGGTTAGTGGCAGTGGGAACGGAGGAGAGCAGGCCTGAGAATTGGACCCCAGGCCC